CATACGTCCATTATCAGGCCAAACAAATAAGGGCTAAGGGCAGATCCCTGATGCAAACCAAAATTACCAAAAAACCCTTCTGTAGTATCTACACTGCTCTTAACTTGGATCTCTGCTCCCTCGTACATTTCCTTGACGAGCCTAACATATTTCTTTGTAACATTCTTTTCCCTCAAACATCTCCATATCTCTTGCTTTGGTACCCTATCATACACCTTTTCTAGATCTATGAACAGCATATGCAAATCTTTCTGCATTTCCCTGTGCCTTTCCATCAGCTGTTTTAGAACAAAGATAGCATCAGTGGTACTCCTTTCTGGCAAAAAGCCAAACTGTTCTTCTCCAATCTCAGATTCCTGCCTAATCCTTCTTTCTACAATTTTCTCCCAAATCTTTGTAGTTTGAGACAATAACCTTATACCTTTGTAGTTCCACAATTTTATACATCCCCTTTACCTTTAAAGATTGGCACAAAAATATCTCCTCCATTCATCTGGGATCCTCTCTTGCTGCCAGAGTTTGTTCATAACGTCCCAGAGGATATCAATCCCTCCTTACCCAAACTTCTCCAAGCCTCAACTGGAATTTGATCAGTGCCTACTGCTTTCCCCATCTTCATTTCCCTAAGCACCCTTTCCATTCTTCTCTGCTAATATCTTGCACTACTCTTTCATTTGCCTCTCCATCCTCGTATAAAGTTCTGGGGTTTTCCTCATTCAATAAATTCCTAAAATATTCTTTCTATCTTTTCCTTGACCCTTTCATAATCTTGTAATACCACTCCTTTATCACCTTTAATTAGTTTAATAGAGGTAAAATTTTACTATGTCTTATCTTTTGCTTTGGCAATTGTCATCAACTGCTTTTCTCCACCTTTCCTTTCGAAAACTTTATAAGCCTCTTCTAAAGCCTTTGTTTTTGCAAGAACCACCGCTTTTTAGTCATTTTATTTGCCAAATGGTAAATTTCTTCCCATCAAATCCCACCTTTTCTTTGTCTCTTTCTTTTGTTTAACTGCAAATTGTACCTCAGCATTCCACCATCAAAGTTCCTTTCCTTCTGGCGATCCCTTTACTGAAGTTTTTCCCAAAACCTCTTCTCCAACTTTCAGAATGCAATTACTATTCAGCAACCACCATGTTTGCACATTATCTGGAAACTGAATTTCTTTTAACACTTTTACTTTAAACTTTTTCCTTAATTACTCCTCTTTCAATCTCTGCCATTTGATCCTTTGTTCAATCTGGCTAACACAATTCTTACAATGGCCCATAAGAAAGTCACAATCCACTAGGGAACTTTGTTGTAAAAAAATCAAAAAAACACAACACCTTAATTCGCTGAGAAAAATTTAATGAAAAGCAAACGTTTTCAGCCAAATCTGTTGGCCATCATCATCTATATTGTATAGCAACACTTTCTCCATTTAACACTTTACTGTTTCTCACTTCACTCAGATGTCTCCTGTGGCACAAGACAAAATCAATCTGGCTGGATCTACCTCCACTCATGTATATAACCAGTTGGTTCACTTTCTTCTCAAAGTAGGCATTAACTAGCGCAAGGTCAAAAGCCACAGCATGATCAACTAGTCTTTCTCCCACACTTCACTTCCCAAGAACTCTTCTTTTTGTATTCTTCCTCTTCCCAACATGACCATTTAACTTGCCCCCACAGATTAATCTCTCATTTATAGGAACACGTGTTATAACTTGGTCAAGATCTGTCAAAAAGTTTGTCTTTTCTTCTTTCCACTACCTGGCTAAGGAACATACACACACAATTGCAATGAAAATTCTACCAACGTTCAACTTAATGCTCATAATTCTATCACACCTTCGTTTAACCTCACAGACACTATCTTTTAGAACTTTATCAATTATGATACCAACTCCACTCACAAACAGATTGTACCCTTCACCAAGTTCTTTAGCTTTATTTCTTTTTCATCTTGTCTCTTGCAGGAACAAAATGTTCACCCTCCTTCTTTGCATAAGATCAACCAACTCTACTCTTCCCATTTAATGTTCCAATGTTTAAAGTACCTATTCTTATACTTGTCTTTTTCCTCTTTTCTTTCTGGACTGACTTCTTTATCCGAACCCGTCCTTGGTTCAGTAGCCCCAGCTCATTTACATAGTTTTTGGACAACATGACTGCACATTGCTTCAGGGGATGTCCTAACACAGTTATAATTTACTTATAGTCTAGCAGAGATTCCATGTAGTTTTGGCATAGATTTTACAGCCAGATGCCCTTCCTGACACAACCCTATTTGTTATAAGGCTAACTCAATTTAACACATATGCCATAGTTATCAGACAGCCATAGTTAAAGAGTTTAATTATACTGCACAACATTGTTTTTTGTTTTAGAAAAACAAAATTTAATACTTTGATAAAATAAATGTGTGATTTTTTTTTTAAATACTGTTTTAAATTCATATACAGTCAAACTCAGATATAGCAAGCATTAGGGGAGAAGATTTTCTTGTTATAACCATTACTTGTTATATCCACGAAGAGGAGTGACATAACTAGAGGAAGAATGGGTTGCTGCTTTGGGCACAAACATGTAGAGGGTGACCCACAGGCAGCAAAATTTCTAGCTATGCCACTAATAATTAGCAAAATCTTTAAATTTTTAATTCTAAATAAGGTGATTCAAAAAAATATGTAATTACATTATACTGTATTTTTATTAATAGTTATATAAACTACAATATAATTAAAATTAAACAGTTTACTTTTTCATAATTAAAGATAATATTAATTAATTAATAATACACCCGATTTCAGTTTTTCTTTTTATCTATAAATCTTAAAATTGATGATTGCTTTATTTCTTCATAATGTCGATACTGTTGAGGATGACAAAGAAAACTTTCTATGCACTTTGACATTTTTTAGGACTACATTGTAACTCATGAATAATTTCTATTTTTTCCTAATTTTGTGAGAAAAAATTTTTTTCTTTATAGACATCTTTCTCATAGAAGGGTTTGTATATAACTAGAGTACAGTAGAACCTTGATTATCCGAATTTTCCATTATCTGGATTGTTCAAAATAGACAAAAACTTTACAAATTTGTTGATTTGCATTTGGCGAATTGCGATACTGTTTATGTATGTGATGGAACGCATAGACCTAACTTTTTTTGTTCCAACAATGTCTCACCTGGCACAGTGGTTGTAAACTTTTAAATAATTTTTTGCTGTAATAAAAATATAACTTGACATACATATTTATAAATAATTTATATTGAAATTACACCATTTCTATGGCCAAGGGCAGCGTAAGGCATGGGTGATGTGGACCACCGCCTACAGCCTCGCGGTCCGAGAGGCCTCGCGCCTCGAAGGTTTATAAATTACTTAAAAGCCGTGAATGTGACGAAAAAATTTTACTCATCATAAAACGATAAATAGTTTCCATTTTTATGAATAAAAATTTGACTGTTTCAACTGCTTTTTATTTTATAAAATCAGTCTTCTTGCTCCACTAGAGGGCCATTAAACAATAGTCAGTCTGTTAATGCTGGTCAATAGTAGTCCAAATTCAATACGAATGTTTGTTTCTTGAAAATTTGATCACGATTTAAATACAGTATTTATTTTTATTAATACCGATATGTCATCAAAAAGAAAATGTATTGTATTATCATTAAAGACAAATCGGATATAATCAATGGTTTGAAATGCGGTGAGTCTGGACATTCATTATCTAATAAATATGGTGTTGGAACATCAATGATCTCAGATATAAAAAAACAAAGTGAAAAAATTATGAAGTTAAACAATAATTGAATTTCTTAATTAATAAAAAATAATTTAATATTGAAGCTACAGTATATGCAAATCTAGACAAATAAAAATTATTCATACTGTATGTACTGTACAGTACAGTACATGTCTTTCACTGTCAATTATTATTTTTTCGATTATACGGATTTTTCCTTTTCTGGACTATTTTCATCCCCAATTAGTCCGGATAATCAAGGTTCTACTGTATATGATAATTTTACAATCATAGTGATGATTATGAAAGTCAAGAAAGAAGGGGACAGTTCCCAAAAGAAAAGTAAGTGATAAATAGGCCTGTAATCTAAGCAGGTAGTAAAACTAATTATCCAATGGTCATAAAACTAAATAACCTCTTCTAAGAATTTGGTATTGTATTTCTTACTTTTCGAACAATTAAGAATGTTCAAGTGTTTGCATAGCTACTGAAAATTTGCTTGGTATATCCATGAAATACTCCTGTTATAATAATGAGAAAATGTGTGGAAATACATGTAAATTAAAATTGTTATGGCATTTTTCTTGTTACTTCCACGTTTGTAATAACAGAGTTTGACTGTGTTTCAAATATATTTAAATATCTATATATCAGATTTCCAATTTAAATTTTAAATTTATTATAAATTATTAAATTAATGGAATGAAATATTAAAAATTTACTTAATTACTTTTGAATTTTGTCAAATTGAGTTAAAATATTAAATGAATTAATTGAAACAAATTAATAATTTTTCAAATTTTATGCCTTTGTATCCTTATGTTATAGTTTGTACTTAAATTGTCTACAAGGACTTATTGATTACTAGAATTTATTATACCGATGACCTCTGGTTCTGCAAATTAAGAAAACAATTCAGAAAAAACAATCTACTTTTCACCTGCAAAAAAAAGACTGTTTTTTCTGAATTGTTTTCTTAATTTGCAGAACCAGGTCACTGGTATAATAAGTCCTAGTAATAAATAAGTCCTTGGTAGACATCTTACATAATAGACAGGATCTATAATGATCAAATTAAGAAAACAATTCAGAAAAAACAATCTACTTTTCACCTGCAAAATAAAGACTGTTTTTTCTGAATTGTTTTCTTAATTTGCAGAACCAGGTCACTGGTATAATAAGTCCTAGTAATAAATAAGTCCTTGTAGACAATTTAAGTACAAAAATAATAATTTTTTTTTTTTTTGTTTTGTTTTTTCAGAACAAAGAAAAGATGGTTGTTTTGTTATACGAAATCAATATATTGAAGCAACTATTGATGAAATGGGTTGTCTGTTATCATTAATACTTCAAGGTTCCAGGAAGGAAGCAATCTCTCCTGGATGCCGAGGAAATCATTTTGTTTTATTTGACGACATTCCACTGTATTGGGATGCTTGGGATGTTATGGACTATCACTTGGAAACTAGACGGTCTGCTGTGTCAGAGGTATTGTAATCAAGAAATTTGAAAAAAATTTAATAAGTCAGTATAAATCATAAACTATGTGACTTATTAATGTAAAAATAAAACCAAAAACAATTTTTTGTTTTGCTTAATCAGTTGATTTATTAAATTTTAAATATCAGTTATTCTAGTAATGCTTGTTTATACAGTAATACCTCAACTTACGCGAATTCGGAGTTACGTGATTTTCAAATCTCGTCGATTCGTTTTGTTTGAGCGCCATGCAACTCTTGATTACTCACCCCCCCACACTATTGTTCAACTTACATGTTCAGACGTGTCATGCGGAATCAACGCATAGCTACAATCTATTTTGTGTTGTTTATTTCTGTGTTTGTTATATCTACGGAGACTTGAGAGACTCTGTGATGATTTCTTGTAACTGTGAACGAATCAAAAGACAAGATAAGATTCACGAGAACATTTATTAGCTTACATACATCCGACTTGGATTTTACACAAATTGCAAAATTATACCTCGACTTACGTGAATTTTACTTACACAGTTATCACTCGGTCCCACCTATCGTGTAAGTTCAGGTATCATTGTATACACAAAATTTTCATGTCTAGAAAAATACTGTATTTACTCACATATAAGACAAGGTTTTTATTCATTTTTCATTGCTTCAAAAACCTGGGTTGTCTTGTATGTGCAAGTGAAGGATTCTTTGCATTTTTGCAATAATTTTGTGAACCATGTGTTTGCATTTTTTACTGGATGCTCACCCTGTGGTGTTTAAAAACAAAAGTATTTTATCTGGGTCGTTTCAATCATTCTTGCATATTGTCAGGAGTAAAGATGAATAGCAATAGGAAAAGCAAAGCTTTTCAATTGAATTCAAAATTGAAATTCCAAAATCACATGGGAGCACTATATAAGTTTTAATCCATTCCCACATGATTATTCAGAAATCAGAATTTGGAGAAACTCATAAGTGTAATTGACAGAGTGGATTCGACTGTTAAGAATTGGCAAAAAAAAAGTTCTCGATTGTCTAGCTTTACGTGAACAAATTATGTTGTCGATTTTACAAGATTTTTCCTTAAAGTTTAAAATGCCAGTAATTTTTGTGGGACAATGTGTGCATTTACGTGTATTTGACATTTTATTTGTGATTAAACAAAATAAAATTAAATTGTATTAATAAATCTAATTTTTTTAATTTTGATCTTTAAAGTCACACCGCATCTTATATGTGAGATCATCTTATAAGCAAGTAAATACAATATTTGTTTTTGTTCTAGGTATGAAAAGGGTTATCTCTGAAACATTAGATGAATTTCTAATGATTATTTTTCATCATTGATAAACATATAGGAAAAGAAAATAAACACATTAAGAAATGTGTTTATTTTCTTTTCCTATGTATATAATTATATGATTACTTTGTTTTTATGATATAATGATCAACTTATATTATTCAAATATGATACGTTTAATCTTAGTCTATATTTTTTTTTTAGATTACCAAGAGTGCTAAGATTGTTGAAAATGGACCTCTTAGAGCTTCATTGAAATTTAGAGTTAGAATAGGAGAACATAGCAAACTTAGCCAAAAGATTACAATTGATGCTATTCATCCTTACATTCATTTTGAAACTCATGTTAATTGGCAAGAAAACCATAAGTTTTTAAAAGTAAGTTTAAGTTTATAATTTTTTTTTATGCTTTATGTCATACTTAAATTTTGGTTAATTTTTGGGTAGAATGTGCTATTATATTACTTCCTCACAGAATGCTCAACTCAGAGCAGTTGGCCTATTTCAGATTTACTGCCTTGGGTTCCTAGTTTCTGCTCTCAAATTGTGTGTAGTAACACAAATGTGTGTGAGGATTTAATTTGGTAGGAATGTGTTCATGTTGCTATGTGTATATAATTCAAGACTAAAGGCCTTGCTAAACAGATGACCCTTTTTAAGGCACTGTGCACACATTTGTGCTGATAGTCTTGATATGACAGTTGCTGTAAAGTGCCCTTAGTTTATTATATGGTCAGATATTTGAAAAAAATAGGAAAATAAGAAATTTAGAGTCACAGGAATGAGATATAATATTAATTTGGAAACCATGCAGAATTTTAAATTTTATTTATATAAATGTTAAATGATTTAATAAATTACTTTTAACTATTTCAAATTTTTAATGTTATGTAATGAAAACAAAATTCAATTACTTGACTAAAAAAACATTTCTGTTCATCTTTGAGACCATAAACCATTGTACTAGAGCATACTACGAACACTGAATGCTCCATGGCCATGAATAGATTCTTTGAGAGGGTGTGCCTTTCAAATACATATTTGGTACATTCTTCATTTTTGAATCTTTCAATGGCCACAGTTGCAGCATCTCTACACTGTAAATTTTTGCTTTTGCAAAGAGAACAAATCTGGTCAGCAATTTCATCCAGTTGTTGATAAATCAACATTGCCATCTATTCGGAGAGAACGCTCAACACATACATCACCAGCAGACTGGAAGAACATTCCTACAGCATTTCCAGTCATGAGGAAGTGCTAAGTAATTTACATCTACTTAATGTCTTGAAGGGTACTTTTTTAAGTGTCTGTAATTTTGTCTCCGTTTCTTTCAACTTATCTGGAGCATTCTGTTTGTTTCTGTGAATTTGGAACTTCCTCCTGCAAAACAGTGTCTTCTAAATATCTATCTGCCATATTAGACCTTGCTTACCTTATGTGCCACTCTTTAACTATGTTACATACAAACAAAGCAGGGACTACTTATGATTATGTCCCTGCTTTGTATGTATGTATATATGTATCCTCTGAAATATTGTGTGAAATGATGGTGAGGAAACTTGAGAATGAGAACCTATCTTGCTTTCAAGACCTAATTATTTTATATAACAGATATGTCAATGGCATTTTAATTATGTGGTGAAGCAAACTAGATCTTCAATACTTTCTCCAATGCTTCACCAACAACCTCTATAGCCTCTCCTTTCAGGTTGAACAAAAAGTTTCAAACAAGTGCACTTCCTTGATACATAAATTATCTTGTGAGAGAGATGTTTTGCCACAAAAGTAGATCATAAAGAAACATATTCTCCGTTCTTCATTCCTAACGAGTCATGTGATCCATACCAATATAAGATAGCAATCCTTCAATTTCTAGTTAGGAGTGTTTTCATGCACTGTAATCAACACAAGATGTAAATGAAGAATTGAAAATTATTATATCTGTAGCCATATACCATAGCTATTCAGCAGCCCTCATTAACAAACTCATATATCAACATTACCAGACTGGAAACCAGATGCAATGTAAAGACAAGTTTGTAGCTGTTACATACAACAAAGCACTAGTTCACATCTATAGTAAAGTGCTCAGAGTGGCTTGATAGAAGAATCTCCATAGTTTCTTTGTTAATTAGGAATGACAAGGAGCCTATGGAAGAACCTTTTTCACCTGGAGTTACACCATTCAACATATACTAAGGTATGGACAACTTTGGATTAAGGGCATTGTAATCAATTAGAATCAGAGAGCATGAGTAAGCACCAGAGAAGCATGAGACTTTCCAATATGGCGCTTGTGGTTATATGGAAGATGATAAATGTCAAATTTAACTGTGATTGTTGTATCAGACTGCAGATCTCTCAGCACTAAAGTATTTAGAAGGTTTAGAAATATACAAGGCAAGAACTGGAAGGCAGTTAATTTTAAAGACTGAATTTTTTTCAGCAATGTGGCAAGCATGGTTTGAGCTCTTTTAGTTAAGTTTAATCTCATAAAATCTATCTAATAAACAAAATGTTTACAAATATATCACACTAGCTTATAAAGCTTTGCAGATATTTTTTAAAAATATAACAAAGATTTTCGCTCTACCCTAGGACCTTCGTTATACTAGAGAAAACCTTTTCTGGTGTGATCTCATTCTGTTCTGTTTCTGATGTGTTCTAATTTCTGAACTTAGAACACATCGGAAATGGAATTGAATAGAATTGCACCAGCAAAGATTTTCTCTAGTAGAACTCCACCTGAAGAAGGCCTTAGGGTGGATCATAAACGTTTGTGATACATTAAAAAAAATACCTGCAAAGCTTTATAAAGGTTAATATGATATACTTTTAATCAATGTTGTTGTTACAATATTTACATCTGATTCTTGTTAAAAGATATAATTTTACATTTTATGTTGTAAGTATGCATTTTTCTAAGGACTGTCCAATTATACTACTAAACACATGCAGTTTCTACCATCTGGAAACTTTTTGTTTTTAAAGTCATTTGATGATTTTAATTTGTAATTTCTATTCTGCATTCTATTTCCTTGTAACTTACCTGAGGATGTTTGTTTTAAATGTACAAAAATGTTCATATTAGTAAACTTTATTGTAATATTAAATTGGTATTGGTGATTGAGTGAATTTTTTTTATTTTTTACAAAATATATATTAAAATATTTTCACTTCGAAAATCTTATGAACATTGATTTCTGATCATGATAAACTGTTGTTTGGTGACTGTGATCAGCATTTAATTATAAATTAATTATGAATTAAGGTAAGACAAATTTGATATCTACCATTATTTCCTGTGTATAACTCACATCAGCATTCATGGACATCTGCAATGGGATGCAAATGGGGCACTTGTTCCTCATGGGATTGAGTAAAAAACTCCACAAATTATATTTGTAGAAGTGATTGAGATATGTAACCTTCATCTTGAAAATTGGATACTTTGTCTTTTTGTATTGATGCAATACTGTATTCTATAATCTACTTGTGAAAAAAAACCCAAAAAATGAAATAGATAATTACATCAATACATTTTTATTTAACTGTCTCCAAGCTTTGCCTCTTGAAAAATTTTCTCCAATGCCCATATGAGCATATATTTCATAGAAAATTGCAAAGCAAAAATAAAAAATTTCATAAACATGCACTGTTGTACATCTCACTTCTCTAACATTGCCATTGAAAATGTATCATTTAACCTGTGTTTGTAGGTTAAAATGAATTTCAGATATTTTTTTTTTCTATTTTTGTCTTTTCATTGTTGTTACTAATTCATTGTATGAGGATAGTAAAAATAAATTTCTTTAGTTTGCCATTTGCAGGGAGGTTTATTACAGATATATAACATGATATGGACAAAAAGAGACATTACAGTCGACCCCCCCTATAATTACGATTCCTATAAAACTACGAAAAAATATACGTATTTTGGAAATGTTGAGTCGGATTAGTGTAGAATCGATTAATTTTATGGAAGAAAACCTTTCAATCAGCCGTAGTCCGTAAACTTGACACGTGTCGGGCTGTGATTGGAACGACTTGTAAGAAATTGGATTCCTAATAAATTGGAACGTATCTATATCTTATAGGGGGGTCAACTGTATTCTATTTTTTGACAGTTTCCATTGACATTGATGCACTTGTCATATCACTGCAAAAGTTTTAAGGACCCCTGTTCACAAAACTGTATCACATTCCTTGTTCTTGTTTTACAGTTAAGAAGGGCTATCCTTTTAGCTAGGACTTTGCCCTGTAAGAATATGAAAGAAGAGTTTAGGAAAGTTGATGATTAGGAGGAAGAGGAAATAAAGATAGATAGGACAGTGTGAAATAAGAAATAGCTTAGAGCCCCTCTATGGGATCCCATGGTCGCCGCCTCGCATTTATTAAAATCAGAAAACAATTACATTTGAACGTATTTACATATATACAAGGCATTAACAATGTTTATACTCCATCGTTGGGAGAGCCGCTTGGTGGATCAAGAGCCTTACTCGCCTTAATAAATTTGATGATGGCTTTCATCAAATTTTTGTTGTCGATGAAATTGTGCTCACCAGGAGGTCAATTGAAACCTTCCTTGAGACAAGTCCCCATCAGTTTTAGTCTTTGGTCTCTGTATTTGGTACAATTGTAGATCAGATGTACAGTACTACAGTGTCTTCAGAATTTATGTCAACATCACACTTGTTGGAGTTCTTCTTCCTGAAATGTTCTAAGTAGGCATTGAATACCCCATGTCCAGTGAGACATTGTGTGAGTTCGTAGCTTGGGTATAAACTTTTCTTTTTGTGTTGTTTTTCGATAGAAGGAATTAATTTGTAGCATTGTCTTCTGGTGTTTGACTTGTCCCTGATTTCTTGTCTTATATAGCGGATCCTGATTTCTTGTCTTATATAGCGGTACACATATTAACTGGGAAACGAGTGTATGTAATGTTTGAGTTCATCCTTGCTTTTTTTGCCAATTTGTCGGCAAGTTTGTTGCCTCTATAATCATTGTGACTTGGTATCCAAGATTTCAAATTGCTGTCCTAGGTCATGGGCAAGAGCAATTAGATCTTCTGCGAGTGCTGAGCTGTTTTTCATTGTTTTGAGAATATATAAGGCAACCTTGCTGTCTGTGAAAATTGTTATTTTTTTTTGGAGTTGTCAGATTTAGTTGTTTTATGTATGAGATGGCCTTATAGATCACCCATAACTTGGCTTGGGTTATAGTGCATTCATTTGCCAGCCTGAAAGCTGCCTGATACATTGTCTTTTTTCCTTTTTTGATTATGAGTCCAGATCCTACTCCCTGGTTGTCCTTTGATCCGTCCGTGTATATTGTTATTAGCTGCTCATTTTCTTGATTTGTGGTATTATCGTATTCCAACAAGACTTTGTATGGGCATCTCATCCTAGGGTTGATGGGTAAATCCTTGTTATTTAATTTATGGTCTATCCTTTGAATGAAACGAGAGATGTCCTTTGTATTGTCTGGTGGAAGGTTGCCCTTTTTCTGTAGTTGTTCTATATCAGACTCCGATATATCAGCGAAATTCTTATTATAAAGCGTCCACTCCCAGGTTATCTGTTTTCCTTTTAGATGTATAGGCATAAGGTTTGAAATGATTAATAGGGCATCTGTTGGTGATGTTCGATATGCTCTACAAATCCTAATCTCTGATTTCCTCTGAATTGATAATAGCTTCCTTTTTACATGAACTCTATCTAGAGCTGCATTCCAGATCTGAACTCCATAGAGCACCACAGGTTCTATAGCCTGTAAGTAAATTGTTTTGATATGCTTCGGGTGAAGACCCCAAGTATTCCTAGTTATGCTGCTTAGCTGGTTGGATCTTTCTGTGGCTTTGTTGCAGACATAGTTGACATGATGCTGGCAATTTAAGGTCCTATCGAACACAATGCCCAGGTATTTCATTTGTTGCACATTCTTTATCCCTTTCCCATGTATTTTCACTTTAATTACTCTTTTCAATTGACTTCTTTTATTCTTTCTGGTTATCATGATAGCCTCGCATTTCTCGTAGTTTATTGGTAATCTGTGTTTGTTGCTCCATGTCCCAATTTTAGCTAGTGTGTTATTTGCAATTTCTGCCACCCGATCGCAATTTTTGTGTGTGACCATAATCAGGGTGTCATCTGCATATGCCTGTATCCTTGATTCCTCCGTGTCTTCTTGTTGCTCTAGGCGTTCATCCAAGACCAAATTCCAAACACCCGGTTTGCATCTGGATCCTTGTGGGCAACCCTTTGTTACTTCTACTTCCCTCTTGATGCTGTTGGTATATAAGCCTGCCATTCTTTTAGATAAATAATTTTTCATTAGGTTTGTTATGTTGCTTGGATATTTTGTTTTTATTAACCGGTTTATTACACTTGGCCACCATAAATTATCAAAAGCCTTTCTGAAATCAATCCTAATGAGCATGACATGTCGACCTTGTTCCGAAGATTTATGTATAAAATCTGTAACTTTTAAGATTGCATGAATCGTTGAAGTCCCTGATTTAAACCCATATTGTTTGTAGCTGCTTTTCTTGGTCGTATTTAGATGCCAATTAATTCTTTTAATGATCAACCTGTCCAGCACCTTCCCCAAGACTGGGAGAAGGCTAATTGGGCGGAAGTCTTCGGGTTTGCTGGAATTGTGTTTTTGGAATCAATTTGATATTTGCTTTTTTCCATGCAGCTGGAAAGAATCCTGTCCTCAGACATTTGTTGTATAGGTGTACAATTGCCATGGGTATTGCTTTAAATGCATTTTTTACCGTTTCCGCAGTTAGATTGTCCAAGCCTGGAGATTTTCTATTTGTTGTTGATAGTATGGCTTCTTGCACCTCTTGGAAAGTAAAAAGGCGGTCCTGTATTTGTATAGATTGATGTTGTGTTGCGTTCCTCATTTCTTTATGTAAGTCCAAGTCTTTGGTTTTGTCATTGATAGGAAAGTGGAATTGTAAAATTCTTCTGGTGTTTTCTATAATATTCAATTCCGGGTTATTCCCATTTCCTCCGATCAAATTGGGAACATGACATTTCCTCTTTTTGTTGAAAATTACTCAATATGGCACATTCCATGGATTCCTCCTCAGTTCTTTTCCACAGAAATCCCGCCAGGCCTTTGTACGCATGATATTTATGGCTTTTTTGTATTCTTTTAGAGCCTTCCTGTATTCCTCCTTGTGATTATTTCTAAGTTCATCATCTCTGGCTCTGGTCATTTTCTTCCTCAACTTTCGGACGTTTTTCTGCTGTTCCGATAAGTTATTTGTCCACCAGATTGTTCTTTTTATGTCTGTTTTGATTATTCTTGTTGATAGTCCTTCCACTTCCTGGATTGCTTTTGTGATATGTTCTGTATATTCATTCATGTCTTCTTCACTTTCAATATCATGAAATCTGTAT